AAAAATGAAAATTATTAAGAAATGGATCTGTTCAGACTTTGCTCGAATTCCAAATGATTTAAACAATTTTAATACTTTTAAGGCCACTGAATTTAGACAAATTATGTTATACACGGGACCTTTCCTTTTTAAAGACATAGTTAGCATTCCAGTTTACAACAATTTTATAATATTCCATGTCATTATGCGTATATTAAGCTGCATGACTACAGTTTATACTCAGAATGAGTATGCCGATTCTTTAAGCAAGCATTTTGTAAAAACATTTTGTTTGATTTATGGCCGCGGAAATGTCTCCTATAATGTACATTCTCTTATTCATTTGTCACAAGATGCAAAAAAATATGGGGTTTTGGATAACTTTTCTTCTTTTCCATATGAAAATTATCTTCAACATTTAAAAAAAATAATACAACCCGGTCGATTTCCTTTAACCCAACTTTATAACCGTATCACTGAAGAACGTGCATGTGAACCTTCTATCTTTGAATCATTAGTTAATTATCCCATTTTAGACGGTTATCATTTTAATGGTCCTTTACCTGAAGATATTTCTTGTGATTCAGTCAGTCAGTATTCGATTTTGTTCATGAAAACATTTACTATTCGAATAGTAAATATAAAACGTAGGTCTAACAAACGAGATGATTGTGTTATTATGGCCTCAAATAAAGTGGGCCTAGTTAAAAACGTCATAAATAGAAATGGTGACATATTTATAGTCTGTTCTATATTTGAGAAAGTTGTCCCAATTTATAATTTTCCATGTTCATCTATGTTTGTTGGAATGTATGAATGTAGCAAATTGTCATCTACATTAAAATTATATCATGTGAATAATATTAAATTTAAAGCCTGTTATTTTCCAACTACTAATATAATTCCACATTCAACTTTCAATGTATGTACATTATTACATACAAATTGTTAATCAGGTATATCTAGTTAAGAATAGAAATAATATTAACATAATTGTGTGGTTATAATGAATTATTTTTTTTAGTAGCTAATTATGAAGAATGTCATTTCCTACTTTATCATTGTTTCCTCGGTCAACAATGAAAATATCCAAACAATCGTCCCAAAGTCATGGATAATTAATAAGGAGTCAGGAAATCCTATAGTTGGAAAAATGTACGAATGGTATTGGCCAACTGAACATGGAACTAAAAAATCTGAACAAAATGTTAAAGTGGATTATAATTGGGATAAAAAAATTGGTCAGGTTCTAGATATAACCGGTAAATTAATTTTATTGCTTTTAATTTTATATATTATTTCTTGATGATGGATTTATTTTTACAAAAGTCATATATTTTTAGTGTACCTGTGTTTATTTTCTCTCATATTTTTTAGATTCTTATTTAGAAGCAAATTTTATTGTTATCAAAATTAAAGTCAATCAAAGTAAATTTGCCATAATTGAATTTGTAAATGAAAAATCTATTGAAGTGGTACCTTGTAGTTGGATTAAAGTTGATCATATATCAAAGCGTTTTATTTGCTGTTGGCCTGGAAGCAAAAATGTATCTAAGTTTGCTTTATCACAAAAAAATCCAGTCAATTCGTGGGAAGAACACGACTGTCTTCCACGTAAATTTTTCGGTTGGTAAAAGTATACAATTATTGTAATGTTTAATTTGATAAACTATTTTATTTTACTATTCACAGAAACTCATGCATTGGCGAAGAATAAAATATTAAATTTTTGTTACACCAGCTCAACAGAAATAGAAGGTACAGAAAACCGTAGAAAACATATAAAGAGGAAACGTTTTAACTCCTATAGCAGTGATGAAGATCTTAATAATGACTCTAGAAAAGAAAAACAAATATTGAATACCTATTTAAGTAATTTTTTTTTTATTGTTTTACAAATATTACCTATAGTTAAATACTTTAATTGGTTTTATATTTTTAGGTAAAAAGAAAACACAAAACAAAAAAGTAACTATTGATTCAAATTATAGTGATGAAAGTGACTCAATATTCAACACCAAATTTAAAAATGTTGTAGATACAGTTCCACAACCAATAGGTATTGTGAAAATAATTACCGTAAAATAATATAATTTTATAATTAANCTAAAAAAGTTGTATGGAACTTGAAAACTGCTTCGAAATTAGAAAAACCACGATTTATCATAATTGGATTGCAGAAGGGACGTAAAAATTCGTTTTCAAAAGATAGTAGTATATTTGATCATTGTAATCTAACAAACGTTAAAGTATTTCTAAACTCGATAGCTTATCCGTATGATAATTTAAATTTAGATTTTGCAAAAAATAATTTTACCTTATTATATGATATGTATACATCTTTTCAAGAATCGTACTATGAAAAAAATATACGGAACCCGATATTGAGTCCTTCCACTTTTCTATCAAACGCTCCGATTATAGTTATCGATACTTCGAAACAGAATGATTCGGCTACAGCCTCAGCAGTAGATGTTCAATTGGAAATTGAGGCATCGGAATCCTTTACAGGTGTAACTGCTTATTGTTTATTAATTCATGATCGTATCGTAGAATATGTACCTTTTACTAGAGAAGTAAGAAAACTTGTGTAAATATAATATTAATTTATAACAATAAAAAAAAATTTATTTAATAATTTGTGTTTTTTCTTGAAATATTAATTTAGTAAGGTTTCATGAAAAAAAAAAATGTGTACACGGTAAATATTTTCGTGTGAGGGATAAATAGGTGGACACTGAGTGTGAAATCTGAGTCGTCCGAGGGGAACATTCCCCCTTGAACAAAAAAAAAATACCGTGGAAAAACGAACTGTGAACATACAAATATATACTACTGATAATTTTGACTAGGACCATAGTAATAATCATTTTCTACAGTAATTTTATCTTTTGTAACATAATTACTTTTCTTGATTATGCTTTCAAAATATAAGGAAGCTGTTGCTTTCCTGTCACTGGAAAACTCAAGATATTTTTTTTTTTTACTATTCTTCCAATTTTGTGCAGCAAAAATCTATTAATGAAATTATATTATATGCTTTTACTCGGCATAACACATTTTCTTTAAAGATCCTAACAGACACCTCACTATTATTATTTGTATGCTGGCCTCTAGTTGTATGGTCCCTCCAAGCTAAGCACCAACGCTTTTTATGCTCCCAGTGATGTACAATTACATATTTCTGCCATTTTGGATACATGCTACCGGCATCAAAGGTAGAGTTAAATGCTTTCTGAGCTTCTAAATGCTTGCATCATTAATGTCCTATGTTCTTTCTTTATGCTATTTTTGCTATCCCATAACCATCTCCAAACTGCTTGCATAACGTGAAAAATACATAAAAGTGAAGTTGAATTTGGCCATACTGTCATTAAAGCATTTATTTCGGCATCAGAGTTATTAGTTAAAAATATAGAAGGATAGCCTTGTAATCCAAATGCATTTTTTACATTATTCTTGATTAGACTGAATCCACTTTTATATGCTTTTTCACTCTGACCATGTGTAATTATCACACCTAAAGGAGCAGCGCCAGCTGCACATGGTGTCAATAAAAAAGTTACACAATGGTTCTGTGGATCACATTAACTTGTTGAGTTAACAAATACTATTTTTTTTGATAGAGGTAAGTCATGAGCTCGTTTCATTATTGGAGTTAATATTAGCACAGCAAATGGTTCAGACTGGAAGAATATTGAAACTCCACTTTCAGCATAGGTTTCTTTTTTTTCTTCTAATTTCTAGATAAATATTTTGAGTGACTATTAGTTTAGTTATAATGGTAGGCCTAAGTTATGTTTAAAAGTTAAAACCCAGTCAAAAATTTGAAATTTTTAACGCTATAACTTTTGAACTACTTGTTTCATCAATTTTACATCATATTTATTTGGAATTAAGATTAAAATAAAACTATAATAATAATAATAATAATAATAATATTTGATAAACTTGATATTGCAATAAATGTATAGACACATGTAATTCTTTAGATTTAATACTAACTTTTTATAGTTATTTATTACTTTTTATTAAATATAAATACCTACCTATGTAAGAAGATAAATATATACATTTTCTGATTAATTGTTATAATGTTATGCATACCTACATTTAAATTGTAAATAAGGATTAAATTAACTATAAAATATGTCAATATTATAAACCATTTAAAGTAAAATTTAAACTTATGTTATGTCCATTTTAAATATTGAAAATATTGGTAATAATTATTATTATTGTATTAGAATTTTTTTAAAACATTTTAAATATCAGAGCAAAGGAGAGTATTGATTATGCATCCAAACAGTGGATACCTAACTATTTTATTTTATTAATTATAATATTGATACCTTAATAACTCCTTCTCCAGTACGTGGTCCTAGATTTAACACTCTCCATTGGTCATGCCAATGTTGTATCGTTCTGTATGTTGGATTAATTCCAGCATTTGCAAAAACTTCAACAGGACAATCAGATATAGTTAAAACACTTTCATGATACCTGTAAAGTAAATAAGCCGAAACCGAATTGTTAAAAATATAAACCCATTTGGATTATTTTAAATATTAAAAAAGTTTTTTAGGTAAATGGTAAATTGGAAGTGGAGTAAACACAGAGCTGGAGTGGAAAAATACAGAGCTTTTATTGTCAACAATACATTATTATTTTTTAAAACAATATTATTACAAGATTAATCAACAAAACATACCTAACAACTGTAATTCTAGTACTTTTTCATAAGTAATAATTAAAAAACAACTCACCGAATTGCTTCTGTTATGGTCATACCATTTGTGAAATATTCTTCAAAGTTCATCCTAAGGCGCTTGTTTGCACTTAAGTATCTGAGTGCTTCAGCAGTGTTTAAATTATGATTATGTTCATTTATAATTGTGATTACAGCTAGTAGTCCATCCTGAAATATATTTAAGAATGCACTTAAATGGTACCATAAATTGATTATAGGTGCCAAAAATTAAAATATATAAATACATTTTATTATAAGGCGTAATAAATGAATTTCAAAACCTAATTATAAATATTATAATAGGTAAAAAATAAATATTTAACAAACAAAATACATAGGTTAACTGGGTGAACACTGAATTATAAGGTCTAGTAAAACAAAAAATGTGTTCTTACTTTTACAAATGCGTCTGTTTTCCTCGTGGAAACAGTATCGACTTTAATGACAATTTTTATTGTGACTTTACAGTATGTGTTTTTTGATCGACCTATTTTGTTGTTTTCTCTATCAACTTTGTGGTGAGAGCTGTGATGACACACATATTGTTTTCTAAGATACGTAATAATAATAACATAAATCATAAAGTTAAGAAATCATTTTTACACTCGCTACTGATTTCAATTTAAAAAAAAGTTAATAAGGTGACTAACCTGCATTGAATGTATTTACCATAAGGGACAGATGTCCTAACATTCCACTAAGTACAAGTTTTAAAAGAAAATTCTTCTATCCAATTGGCCATACTCAATAAATCATTTATATTTGACCGTATTGTTGTAATATTATCATTAATTACAGTTATAATGTGTTTAAATGATGAAAGAAGATTATCAGAAGTTAATTTAAGAATCATCATTTAATTTTAAGAAATGTAGGATTAAAATAAAAAAATGAACCAGGACTAATAGACTAAAAACACTAAAATACTCTATTACTTAACAAAATAATTTTTTAATTACATATCATTTAATATAATTAACATATTATTATCATTGTTCGAGCACCATCGATATTCAAATTTGATATCACTACGCGCCACAGTAACATTTGTTGTTGCCAGCACTGTCAGCAGTTGATCAGACTATTAGGCCGCCCGGACAGCCGTTGGTGTGCTGCGGAAGGCGACGATCTCGCGCCATTATCTGTTTGTGGCTCTTTTTGACCTGTTGTTGTGTCGGTCGAAGACAAATATTCCGTCCATGTGTATTTCTGGAAACCACGTTTAATACTCGTGATCATATTGAATTGAACAAGATCATTTGTTCATCCGATCGAATCCGCCTTGCACCAAAGAGCGGAAACGCGGCAGTTCAGCAGCACGGCAGATCAGCCACACACGTAGCAGTTCAGCTACCCTGACGGCAGATCAGCCACATATGACGTGTATAGCAGTTCGGCTACCCTGACAGCAGCTCAGCAGCATCAGTAGACAAACAAGGACCAGCCAGCTCCGGAGTGGTCAAAATATTGTGCCCATTACCAAATAGATATTTAGTATCAATATAATCAATCATTGTATGTGTAAATAATTGTATTGTTATTTTATATTCGCATTAATTGTCCAGAGGAGGTTAGGCTGCCGGCGTTAACGAAGGTCAGTGACGTAGCCAACAATCATATAATAAGCATAAGTTCTAAAAATAACTACCCAATCTAAATAATATTACACTAAACGCTTATGATAATAATAATAATTTAGATGGAATAATCGATGGAAAATAATTTCAAATGCGCAAAATACGAACGTAATATTTATATTTAATAGGATTTTGACTGGTTTACCTAGAAGCGGGACAATTAGCGCCCCGCGAACACGCATCGCGGGACGCAATATTTGAGCCCTGTATACGGGACGTCCCGCTTCACGCGGGACGGTTGGCAATGCTATGTGTAGAGCCAAGTATAGGAATTTGCTCTTGTAAGGATTGCATGTACGGTAGATTTTGTAAGCATCAAGGAATAATTTATGTATATTACCAATGTGTGGGGGTTAATTTTCCACCTATAACTGTAGAGGATAAATTTGCAATATCAAATTTAGTATTGGGCGTCAAAGCGCCTAGTAAGACATTTTATGAAGGGCTTATACCTAAAGAGGCATTACACCAGCAACTCGAAACTCATCCAATACACTGACCTATATCAGAAAAACATGGACCAGATGTAAATAATATACCTGAAAATAACTATAATATTACAAAAAAAATGTATTCAAAGGTACAACAGTGCCCAATGAAGACAATTTGACATCAAATACACAGGATAGTTATACAGTATTGGAAGATATCAAAACTCTATTGACTAACAATGTAAAACAGTTCAGCCAATCTACTCTTAAAAATTTAGTTAAATTTAAAAATAGATAAGATAAAGTAAAAACAGAAGGGCAATTTAATACATTTTTGGCAACTGCTGGTTCTGTGACAACACCATTAGAGAGGGTGCAGCTATTAGAGTACAGCCGACTACAATTTCTAGGCGTAGACCAGGGATAACAAGAGGTAGCAAGCGTTTACCATCAGGTAATTTATAATAATAGACATATATAACAATAATATTGTGCCTTAACAAATTTGATTATCTTGTAGGTAGACCAGCTTCGAGTGATCATGGTACATCTAAAAAATATGATATATATTATTATCATCATTCATCAAAAACAAAAACAAAATAGCATACATACTTATTCAAATAATAGTAGTATAATAGTACTTACCTAATATGAATACACATTTTTTATATTTTATTTTGCTTAGGTTTATCAATTGAGGGTTTAAAATAAGTATGTCTACTACATGGTTATGAAATAAGTGCTTTAAAAAAAAGTTGAAGATTTAAATATCT